GGGGGGGGGGGGGGGGGGGGGGGGGGGGGGGGGGGGCTTACGGAAGGGCAGGAAAGGACTTGAAGTGAGACACTGAAACACGGCTTATGATTTTATGGGGTACACTGAAAAATGTGACGCCCTCTCTTTCTTTGACACACTGATTTATTTCCTTTCCTCTTTTGTCTCTTCCTCTGATCTGTTTCTCTTTCTGCTCCTCATGTCAGTCCCTGGCCTTACACCATCTTCCAGCGCGGTTTTGATCTCGTGATGGGAGAGCAGCCCTCTGATCGCATTTTCAGGTAAGGGGAAACTTTGTTTTATCCTCTTGCGTTTTCCACGGCGCCGCACAAAACAGAAAAGATTGCACAGTCAAATAACTTGTCGTAATTCCGCTGCACTACAGCTTCGGTTTCTCTTCTCTCCCTCGTGATGAAGGGGGGGCCGTGAGCTGCAGAGAGGCTGTCCGTTTAAAAGGTGTTATGTAATGAATTGAGACGTATTACATTTTCAAATAGGACGAGCAGAGACACTTTTTTTTATCTCGGGTCAGATAATCATTGTGTTCTGATTAATCTCCGAGCAAAACGTTTGTGAAATTGATTGGAAAGAGAGGCAGAAATTAATAATGAGAAAATAATAACTTTTGTGAAGCTATGTCCTCGTCCTGCCTTATGATGGCAGTAACGTTTCTATATCTCAGGTTTCAACGTGAATGTTTTTTTTCCACATAAATGTACTTTACTTTTTCTTGCCCTTTATACAAATAGTTAAATTTTTTAGAGTTTTTTTTAAATATCAACAAAGACTAAAGTCAATTATCCTGTTTCCAGGATAATTGAAAATCAAACCTTTTTTTTCTTCTTGTGAGTGCCTGATCGGTACTGAGCATGTGCAACTCTCAACAACGATGGGAAGGAAGCGAGATGGCTCACTCTTTAGTTACTTCCATCATCAGCTCCGGAGAAGATTCAGTGGCTAGGTTTAATAGTCATGAGGGGTGTACAGGGATCTAAATCAAATCCTTTGCATTTGATTGGACTGCTCCATGGTGGGCGGGCTTAGCATGTCGCATTATATGGAGCTACAGAGGACTGAGGCTCCACCCAGTTTCCACCAACAGCGTGATATTCATCCATCAATCGATCTGTAACTCTGAGCGACAAGGATCGGTTCTTGCTTATATGAGCACATGTCATATTTAGTTTTACAGGAAGGAAAGATGATTGGATTTTGATACAAACATATAAAGAAGTCGATTTTTTGTGAAATGTTGTGCACTGGTTATGAACCAGTCTCAGTTTAGTCCTGATCCTCTATATTACCTCCATAAGTAAACTAGACCATCAGCGATAAGACGGTCTATTTCTATAGTTATTCTTAAAGCTCGTCATCGGTGCCACCGGGTCAGATTCTGGTGAAATCAGATGAAATCATGCAGGTTCATCAGAAACTCCTTCAGCTCAGACTCCAGCGGGGCCTCCAGCAGAGACCGGTCCACCGAGGATAGACCCAGATCCT